ATTAAACTGTTACAGATCATCATCACTGTAAATAAGATTATTGAATAGCCCTTTCTCATCCCTTTAGGTTAGGATTTGCTTCACACTCGTTTCATTTGAAATTTTTAAATACATTTCTGGTAATTGAAGTTTAGTTAGAATGAAACAAATTTCTCTGTAGTTTCATGTTAGTGTAGTTGACTTGTGACTGGTGTTCTATACCACACAACTGGTCTCCACTAATCCTTCAACTAAAAGTGAACAAATCATGAAAAAAAAAATAGAGCACACACACACAAAAACTAGTCACACTGAATTTCTTATTCTTACTCTAAATAAACAAACCCTATTTTACCTCCTAAATATTTCCTGAATTTGTCCTTTTGCTCTATGATGCTTGATTAATTTAAGCTCTAAGCTCCTGATTCCAATCCTTGCCTCCCTCCTTAAATTGATTCTCTACTTCTTAGCCAGTGATTATTATATAGAATCCAAAACTGACCAGGCTACAAGCCTCAGCATACTAAAGCACATACATGAGGTTCAATTTACTTAGGAAAGTATACAGAGCCCTCCAAAACCTGACCCCTGCAACTTTTCCAATGTCTCCAGGCAATTTCCACCTCATAGGAACAATTCTGAACACTGTGCTAGTCTAGCACCCTGGTACAATGTTCAGTTTTTATTGTCTTATGATCCAATCATCTATTTCTGGCTCTGCCTCTGGACATTTTCCAAGGCAGGGACTTTCTGACCTTTGTGCTTGGTGCCTGAATAGGGCACCACTCAAGTGTTTACTGAAGTGCAGGCCTCTCTTATTGAGGAAAGTATAGTAACTGAACAGGTGCTGGTCATTTTCATAGACTTTTCCCCTAAGCTTTTTCCTCAAATTCCTAAGAAATATGTGAAATTTCTTTTCTTCTCCATTTCCACCCTAGGCTTCTTCATTTACATTTAGTGGGCAGTGAATGATTTACTATGAAGTTCTCACACTAACTGTTAAGTTCATGCAAAGTCTTTAGCAACACAATTTTGCAGGTGATTCAAAACACCCAAGGTGAAGGAGAGTTTCAACACTGACATACATACCTGCTTAAACACTGATCTGAACCCTTGGAACACATTAACCTATACAAATGTGGATGTGTAGCACTGAGCAACACACAGCATTTCTAGTGACTACCATAATGTTAGTGGAAAATGAGAGAAACAAGAAAAGTAGGGGGAAATGAACTTTATATAATATTAGATTTCCTGTGAAGAATGTATTTTTTAATTTAGGTAAACTGAATAGTCCTATTTAAAAAAAAAAAAATTGAATCAAATGCCATCCAGGTTACCTAAAGAGGGAGATGGTTAAGTAGTATACACACATTAAAAATCTATTTTCAAAATAGTGTAACACAGGCAAATCAAGTGTCTAAAATGGTAGGATGGGCACCACAAAAAAAATCTCAGTGTAAGAATGGAAATGACCTGGGCAGTGGAAAAACATCTAAGTATGCAGGTTTGAACAGCACAGGTCCACTTAAATGTGGATTTTTTTCAATACAGTACTGTACAATCTGCAGCTGAAGGCACAGTGCAGAGCGTCAGCAACCCTAACTCCCGCATTGTTCAAAGGTCAGCTGTATATTGAAACAAATTTAAATGCTTTCCCTCAGCATGAATTTATTTAACTCTATTCCAGTTGGATGTGTTGAGAAATAAGAAATTTCCACCTCTACCCTCCTTGAGTTCTTGCGGACTAATAATAAAACTGACCTAAGACAGATTAGTAGGAGAAAAAGAAACAAATTTTAATTTCTGCAAGCTGAGGTCTCAGAGAAATGGAACCCAGCCAAAGAAGGCAGCTTTTATGTTTTAGATAAAAGAAAAAAAAAATTTTTTTTGGTGAGGAATTAACAGGGCAAAGAAATTCAGGTTTTGGGCACTTAATTAGTGGAAACTCTAAACAGTTTGGGCTTGGGGTAGTAAATTAAAGAAGTAACAAGGTTGTTGATATGGGCTTCTCAACCTGAATTCCCTATCTTCTGCAATTAGGGTCCTTCTATCTTTAGGTGCATGGAGTATATGTTTCACACAAGAGACTTCTTGTTTGCTTTCTGTGAGACAGACGAGGGACAGAGTGTCCCTCTTTGGTTGGCAGTTTCTTAATTTTAAAATAATCAATATGCCATTGTGGTATGTTTTGGGGGTAGCCAACAGACACTAGCTCTGTTTGGGCCTAGAGCAAGAAACAGAAATGGTAGTGGCATATCTCTGGCAATTTTCACAGAAAATGTTGACATCCTGTTCTAGCTCCTGGTAGAGATGGAAACAAAACACCAACAAAAGTGTCCTGTCTGTCTCAGTCTATTAAGAAACAGTATTTTGAGACTTCCCTGGCAGTTGGAGGTCCAGCAGTTAAGGCTCAGTGCTCTCACTGCAGGGGGTGGGTTACAGCCCTGGCTGGGGAACTAAGGTCCCACATGCTATGCAGTGTGGCAAAAAAAAAAAAATATATATATATATATATATATATATATAAGATTTCACATGTCAGAAATTCCCTCCTAAAAATTGTTTCTCCAAGAAATTCCTACATTCCCTACACCAGTTAGTCATTTCTACAAGTAAAGGTTAAGAACGCGTGTAAAATCAACACTCTAAATAAACCTAAGAACTTTAATATAACAAAACTAACTAGTGGTTTGAAATATCCTCTTTCTAGAGCACTAAAATATATGTCAAAGAAAAGAAACTAAAAGACAATTCTTTTATGGGTTTATAATGTGAAAATAAAGTTCTGATATGAAGCAGAAAGTAGAGTGCATTGTCAAGAAATATATCATTTGTTTTCTTATATGCTCACATATGAAAAGTAATCACATAAAAATGACGTATGAAATGTAAGCTATTAACCATAAAAATAAATCAAAATTCTATTTGTCGAAAGAATGAAACATGTTCATTAAGTACATTGTGGAGTCTGATACTAGAAAACAGATTAAAGCAAACACTAAGGTATATGTTGATACATTCTAAGATACCATTTTAAGATATAAAACCTTGACAATTTTATTTCTAATAGGAAACTCCTATACACACTGAACATATTTAACAGCATTAAGCAGAGACAAACACTTAAAACTTTCAAGATAGAACTTAAAATCTTTAATGATAAATAAAAGTATGTTAAATTATTTTCAAATCTGAACACTTTATAATGGTAAATTCCAGTTGAAAAATCTAATAAACAGGTAAAAATAACAAAATGATCAAGGCTTTTTAAAATGGTTTTAGCAATCAAAAGAATGTACTTATCTCAACAGCAAACAGAATATTTTGAATGGTAAGTTATGAGTTGATTCTTTAAAAACCCCAGTTTACTAGGAAAAGGAAATACTATTTCTTCTTATAAACATATATTTATATTTTGAATTTCACTTCATTCAAAATGTCTCTCATTCTAAGAAGAATGGAGAAACAAACAAAAAAACCCGCTAAAAGATCAGGGCCATTAAAGGATCTTTGCTTGAAACACCACGTAGCAACAGCTACACCTAGTGGTCAGGGATGAGTAGTGAAGTTATCCAACTATAAAACGACAGTAAACGGTAAATTCGGAAAGAGCTCTTTTTCAACTTACTTAGGGTAAGGTTTTATCTTTTACCACAAACTATGTTTCAATGAAACACTTGAGAATCTTTGGGGAACAAAGGCCTTAGTTCATAAGCTTGAAGCAAGCGTCCAGAATCAGTTCAGTTCAGTTGCTCAGTCCTGTCCAACTCTTTGAGACCCCATGGACTGCAGCACACCAATCTTCCCTGTCCATCACTAACTCCTAGAGCTTGCTCAAATTTATCAGTTTAAAAAAAGCGGCTAAAATAAAACTCAAACCAAAGAGAGAACATACAGATACTTTATTGCTCACCTTTCACACAAAGCACACCTCCAGCCATTTTCTTTCACAGCTTGACAGTATTTACGTGTACAAAAACCCAGCAAGAAGCATCATGTAGATTTCAGCAACAGTGAGTGTCAAACATCAACTCAGCCAGGCTTTTGTTTTCTGCAGCAATAATAAAGGGCCTCCTGCTCTAAGCAAAAGTCTGTCCTCTTACTTGGTAGTGCATTTCTTTCATTACAAAAAGTCTCCTGCCCAAAGCAAACTAACTTGTATCTGCTGAGCCAGTGGTTTTAACTCGTGCATAAAACAAATTTCAGTTTGCTGTTTCTTCTAGCAGATTTCAAGTAAAAATAAAGTTGAAAGAGGAACTTGTTTTGAATGGATGCAGGTCAGTTTGAATTGCTAAACTTAACTAAATGACTACATGTACTATAGGTTCACAACTTAGTCTGCTTTTATAATCTTTATGGATTTTGGCCGTGTTCAAGGTTTTCAGAGTTGAGCATATGGTACAGTATTCTGTCAAAAGGATAAGGCTACTGAATGTGCTATCTGCAGAAGAGCTCATTTAATAGGAACTGACCTTAAAGTTCTATCATGAAGCAAATGTTGCATAACCTCTCTGAATAAAAAGCCAATCAGGGCAGAACTGTGCTTGGAAAATAGGCATCAGAATACTTTAAGGAAAACACATATAAATGGATTGTTAATATGAGGAAGGTTTCCTAGTTGTAAATCTAAAAAAATCTAGAAGAATTCTCATTTTTCAAAACTGCATATTGAAAACATGAAAACTACTTATTCAAGTAATTTCTTCAGAAAAATACGCATGTTCTGACTGTGGAATTAGTCTAAACTGGTCAGTTAAAGGCAGTTTTAATTACCTTTTAAGAAATTCTTCATACAAAGGAGAGATATTGTGTTTCTCAAATAAACAGCATTATGTAAGTTCATTAAAAAAAAAAAAAAAACAACAGTATTGTATGAAGACCTACAAATGCTTATGCCAAGCAGGAATCTGCCTGTCACCGGTGGTCTCACATTAATTCAAAAACAATGCTGGATTCAGGATTCTGAAACTAAGTTTCTATTACTTGAGCTCTAGCAAAATGTAAGGTTCTATGTAGCCTCAACTAGTATAATGTCTTCCCTGTCCAAATCCAGAATGATTATACTGGTAACCTCCATGCTGGAAGTGCTGTTCAAATTGCCCCCCTTGATGATAATTCTGACTCCCTCTTCCTCCCCAACCTCCTCCTTGGCCAGCGCGTCCACCTCGGCCTCCACGACCCCCTCTCCCTCCACGACCACTGCCTCGATCACTGTGATGCCCACCATCTTGGTATCTATTGTCCTGCTGATATCCACCACCCTGGTATCCACTTCCTGTGTATGTAGATGTTTGGAAGCCACCATAACCACCGCCCTGATAGCCACCACTGTGGCCACCATGATAGCCACCGGACTGGAAACCCGAATCTCGATAACCGCCATCTTGGTAGCCACCCCCTCCTCCACTGCCTCCATCTGTCCAGCCTCCTTGATGCTTATTTCCTCTTCCTCCCCCTCGGCCACCATGGTCGTAGCCGCCACCACGTCCACCTCTCCCTCCTCCTTGCTGTTCATGACCTCCTCGTCCTCCATATGAGGAATGTTCATAACCACCTCGCCCGCCTCCTCGTCCTCCTGCTGGTTGCTGGGGGCCATCTTGCCTTTTCTGCCATGGTGGCATCTCTGGGGGTGGAGGTTCGATTTCATTGGGCCTACCTCCTCTGTCGGGAACTCTGCCCATCAACACCTATGGGATAAGAAAGATATTTTAAATTTTAAATTACTTTATTTTAAAAACATAAATAAATGTGTTGAAAGAAAATTAAAGGTAATCTTATCACCTTATTGATGGCACAGGCAGTCTTTTCTCTTATAGAGCCACTGCTCGTCCTTAAGATCTTTGACAAGTCTTGTCTTGCAGCCAAAAGGTGGGCAACAGAAATAGTACTTTTAGGAGATAAGACTGAGCGTTTCGGCTGGTAAACCTTCGCCAATTTTTCTGTTTGACTCTGAAAGAAAGTGTTCAAAGACAAATGTCAGTTTTCAAGATTACACAGAAACATTGATGCTAGACAAGTTAAAGATTTTCAAAATGTTTGATGATAGTATTTACTAGGCTCCAAATGAGAGAAAAAGTTACATACTCACCACTGCTCCTATCTAGTGAAGAGCTATCTTAGAGTATAGCTGTCAGACCTGCTGATACAATAAGGAATGATAAAGGGGATAGAAGGGGGTATGGAGATAAAGGGGCTCGCCTTTAAGACTGTGGAACAAGAAGGCTTCCCATGCCATTGGTCTCAAATGCCTTCATTTTATCTATATCTTACATTTAAATAGATAGAATGAAGGCATTTCTATTATAAATAAGAGAGTCTACTTTATAACCACTTAGTAGAAGTACATTTAATGTATTTGTAACATAAGATCACAAAAGATGAGTGAACAAAGGGTATAAATAGAAACTTTACACAAGAGAAAATAAAGTTACAATAAATATAAAACATATTTTCCAGATAGGATCAATAAATGCAAATTAAAGTACCTAAATGTGGGGAAGCAACAACAAATTCTTACCTATTAAATTTGGAAGCAACAGCTACAGCTACAATACACAGGAAAATAGCACAAGAACAAAACGTAATTGCTCAGTCTGTTAGTTATGTACAGGTACTCAAATATTGATGGTAAAAGTTTAAATTATATTATGTGAAAAGTGTAAAAAGAGATGCTTACTATGATTATATATGTGAAGAAGATAATGTTAAAAATGAAAACAGCTATTGTGGTTAAGACAGTGGGATGACAAATGACTTTTTATTTTTAAAAATTTTCTTTAATAATTAAAAGGCTAAAGAGATTAGCTTGTCTGAAAAGCACTTCCTGAATGTCTTATATTTCATTTCCTTGTAGTCACTATTGTACCTACAGTAAGTGCTCAATCAATCTTTAGGTGAATAGAAACAAACAAGTTTGAGAAAACAGTTTCATAAAAGCTTCAAATAAAACTGCTTTCATAATGCAATTTCAAAGTGACATGTAAATACATAAATTTCATTACATGAAACAAAAGTTCAAAGAGTAAAGAGACGCTCAGACATACTGCATCAGAACCCCAGGAGTAGAGCCCATTAACGGCAGTGTTAAGACCAGAATTCCAGTGTTAATACCTTGGGTCAATGCACATCCATCAATCATTACATGCTTTTCTAGTCCAAAGTTGCAGGGTTTTGTTTTTGAAGTACAGTATTATGCCAAGAGTGAAATGACTGCTATCATCAAAGATATTTTAACTAAGGACTGGTATTTCCTCAACAAGAGGCCCCAAAGAGAATAATTTATTCCCTGTGTTACTACTGACGCACTATGAGATCTCAGGCAAAACCTTCCATTCACTTGGGTCTCCATTTGTTTTTAGTTGCAAAATGAGGGGAGTTAAGACTGATCTCTAAGACCCCTTTCCAATACTAAACATTGTAATTCAGTAAATATCTACCCCATCAATTTAGCAGCTAAATAGGACTATACTATGGTTTAAAGATTTTAGGTGAAACTAACATTTATTGTATTAGGAAGATAATGGGAGAACTAAATAAAAACATTTTCTCAGTCAATTAAAGTTCAGAAAAAAATCTACTTTTAAAAACGAATGCACCATTAAATGGACTTTTAACATTTTGGATCGATCTCCACATAAATTCAAAAATTAGTTCTATTTCAGGGTTCTAAGTAGGTCAAATTAACCAACTGTGCCAATTAATTACCACTTACTGATAAAATAGCAGATATTTAATAAATACCTGTTGGAATGACCAAGATCTTTACCTGGATTATCTTATTTAAGCTGAAATAAAACTAAGTCTTATTAGATTCTCCAATTCTCTATAAATGGGTCACAATATTTGGTCCTCCAAATTCAGTATTTTTAATTTATTTATTTAATTAGCAAGTTAAACTGTTAGCTTAAACAAGTAATTTAAAATTTCATTATTTTTAGTAATTTTTAGGTACTCTACTTTTCTCTTACAAATGGATACTTCCAGTAGGGTTTACAACATATAGCTTTGCTGAAAAATATTAAAAAACTGAAAAATAAGTGTTTTCATTATTGTTGAATGGCTACTCAGTAATTCACTAAAGAAAAACCCCTATGTGTATCTCCTATGTATTTCTCTTAGAGTCTGCACTACATCTAAGCTGTGTTAAGTATGTTTAAAGATCACGTCCAGAAATACTCTCCTCTTTTCAGTGATTTAATGTGTACCTTAGCTCTGTCAGACCAGCCAAAAGACTGGACAGTGACATCCAAACGTTTTATTAGCAGCTTTCTCCGAACTTCATATTCATTGGCCACAGCTTGGTTAATTGCTTCTATCTTTTCCTGAAACAAAATTAAAAAGACCAGTTAGAATTTAAATCTGCTTGACCCCCTATTCCAAAAGGGGAGAAACTTGTTTCATTTACAACTGAATGCCCAGCACTCAGCACAAAATGATTTAGGTTATATAATAAACAGAATAATAAGTTATAATAAACTAGTGAAATGACAGGCATAATAATGTCATCTCAAAATAGAATAAAGAATATGTAAGTACAAAATTCTCATTTAGTTTTCCTATAACTCACTGTGTGGAGCTCAGCCCAGTGAAGCTTTTGGCTTGAAGCCAACCCATTTGGCAATTAGAAACATGCATCATACTGAACTTCAATTTAATCAGCTGTGTGAAATTTTTTACAAATTATGAAAGAAGTACTCCTAACGTTACATAAATAAAATTATTTTGGATAAATCTTAAGACTTACAAAAATGATTCTAAGGATGTCCACCATATTAGAGAATATAACTTCAAAACACAAACATAAATATCCTGAGACAGGTAGATGGCTCCTTACAAAGTTTACTCAGGATGCTCACTACTCACCCAGTGGGCCGGTCCCATTGGCTTCTTCAATAAAGGCTTTCCCACATGATTAGGTGGAACTTTTGCTAATGTTTCCTTTAACTGACACAAAAACATAAATGAATGAATAAACAAATCTAAAAGTAAAACACATCCTCCTCATCTTCCCAACTCCCATCATATCCTGCCATCAAAAGAAGATTCCTGACAGAGGCAAAGGTGGAGGATGTTTTGAAATGTACAAGACCCACATGATAAAGACACTCACTTGACCCACTCCTCAGGTGTCTATGGAAGCATGAGTCCTTCACTGCACCTAGAACAGTGCCTGACAACAGTGGGCACTCAATATGTATTTGCTGAATGAATGAATGAACACACAGAAAAATATGGACTATGGATACACTGCTGCTCCCCGGTAGAGTTCAGCCAAATTTGTGCATCATGGCATCCATCTACCCCACAAGGCAAATGTACCAATTCTTAAGAGCCCAGCAGATAATGCATATAGAGAATAACTCTGCTATAATAAGTATCATTCTCTTCTGTTCATTAATTTTAATTAAAATTGCTTGTTCCTAATCAATTATATAAAGACTCTTTAACTGTTGATAATATGTGGTATAAAAACAATTCTAACTTATTTTCATGTACTAGATTATATTAGCAGTTAACATAACTAGTTTTTCAAATGAAACATGTAAGACTTGAAGTGACTGGATTAAAATCCCAAAACATTTACATCCTTTTCTGTCCAGTCAATGGGGAGAATGGTGGTAACATTTAATGATAAAGACCTCAAAATTATTAACTGCATCAAAGTTCAATGATAAAATAACTTTTAAATGGACTTAAGTCCTAATTCTCTTTACATTACTTCTAGTTTATTTCAGTTTATAAATCAAGGTGCAAAGTTTCCTTTTTGAAAAAGAAACATGCTAGTACGTTAAAAAAATAGTAAAATACCAATTTTTCTTGAAGGTATCTAGGATTTAAAACGCAAAACTCATTTAGTAACAATCACTTAAAAATATGTACATTAGGTTCCCATTAAGAGAAATTAACTTGCTTCATTTCAAACAACTGTAGGACTATGCCTTTAATACACTACAATCTGGTACTAAAGGTCTTACTTTTTTTTCAATCCCGCTGAAGAATTGGAACATAGTTATATTGGCTGGAGGTTTGGACATTCCTAGAGCAATACATATGCCTTTCAACTCTTGAAAGACCTCACTACCGCCTCCTTCTTGAGCTTTTTTTGGAAGAGTATTCACACAGAGCATTCTGGCAGCTTCTAGTTCTGAGATGAGGTATGCTGAAGTAAACAAAATAAGATTTCAAAATGAGATACAGCTACAATTAATAGTCATAAGTCTGGAGTCACAACTCTATAGATCTAATGATACGTAATAAAGCTGCAAGAATGGATAAAAACAAGAAAGGAAAACCATTTTTTACCTGCAAATTATGTAACACATAATCTGGTTCTGTAATTCAGTATTTAACCAATATATGTTTAAAGCCTGATTTAAAAGCAAGCAATTCTTTTTTGAAACCAAAAGATCAAGGTAGATCACATCTTAAAATCTGATTCTTGCATTTCACTATCAAGGAACCTCCAGAACATGGGTTGGCATCTGTTAACAAACTGGCAAAAGGTGGCAGGTGGCTAGTTTTCAGCAACAGTTAAAAAGGTTATATATCTGTATCTATACTTTACTTCTCACAACTGATACACACCAGTGATATAACTATCCTGCCCTCTTACCTTCCAACACTCAAGTAGTCTGTTTAAGACTGGAGTGAAAGAGTATTTTTAAGTGGTCAAAGCTTCACTTACAAGAGAAGGGGGAAGGTACTAAATTTACAAACATCCCTTTTTCATGCATGGTCTCCAGTAGCCTAATGTCACCTTCTGGCAGGTCACACAATACCCTCTTTCATCTGTATTCTTCTTAATATTCCCTTTCCTCCTACATTCCTCATTCTCACCCCCTCCCCTGGAGGGGGGAAAAAAAAGACCCCAAAACTTTCTAATCATTTCTGGGCGGATTCCTTTCATATCAGTATCATTCCCTTGTTCATTGACTTCAGCCAGGTATAATGAGAGCTGCAATCTGCTTCAGATAATTCAGTTGAAGGTAAAAATATTCAGTCTTATTCCTTTTACCTTCCAAGGGACATTTATATTTTTAGATGTTTAATAATCATTTGGATCTTAGGATTTCAGGTTATGTGACAAAGTGAGAACCTTCTGACAATATTAGGCAGAGAGCTGGAAAAAGACATTTTCTGGGCTCTTAAGCCCTACAGTAAGTATAAAAGAACGATCAGCGTGAATATCTCATCTCCTTTACCCAAGGTGTAATGTGAGAAGTACAGGGGTCATAATTTTAGCAGACCATTTCTGAAGAGCTGCCAAACCCTATTCTAGAATAAACAGCTGAGATTCTGGAAAGGTCATTCTAAATGGGTTTGATAAAATCTTAACATGTTCTATATAGCAAACTGCATGAATTAAAAGATCAAAATAGTAAAACCCCACTGCCATGAAAATAACCAACTGTTTTTGCAAATAAGGTTTTCTTGGAACATGGCCACACTCTAAAATTCATTTACATGTCATCTATGGCCACTAACATGCTACAACAGTGGAGTTAAGTAGTTGCCAGAGACCTTATGGCCCACAAAGCAGAAAATATTTACTATCTGGCCCTTTAAGAAAAAGTTTGCCAACCCTTGCTCTAGAAAATCATATATATGATTTAATAAATTGGTCTCTAAATTTGGGACAACATAGCTCAGGCATTCACAAAATTAGTTTACCAACACAATTACCATCAAAAAGCATTAATTGTAACTGGTGTATTCAAAATATCAGAAAAGGCACTGAAGATATAAAACACAACAAAAAAAGATTATCTCTACCGACAATCTAATTAGAAATAAAGAATATATGCATACAAAGATATTAGACTTATTATACCTAAGGGAAATATTAATATACTGACAACCACAAAGGCCAATTAAGAGCCACAACAGTTCTTAACCTGACACATGAGAGTTTTTCAGCCAGTACAGACTATTAGAGAATACACTATTCTGTTTTACTAACAATTCTAACGAGGTTGGTTATTTTCCCCCCTCAGGAATTAAAAGATTCAATTCAATAAGGTAGGGTGCTGCAAGAAGCAAGTAAAATTATAGCACTGAGATGTGACAACTGATACTTGGAAAGATGAAAAATATTTATACAGAGTGAAAAGAGAATGAGTACATGTACATAAATGCGTACTAGCATGAGAGAGGATACAAACCGGGGAATATTCAGAAAGAGGAAAGAGCAGAAGCAAAGATAAAGAGAAGGAAGGGAGCAGTGTGTATGTATGTATGAAGAATTCCAAAAGCAGAGTAAGCTTTAGTCGATTTAGTCATTTAGTTGAGGAGCAAACAGTTGTATATTCTTGAAAAGCTTTTGAGGTAACAGCACATTAAAATATAATGATGACCCTGAGTCCAAAATAATAATGTTCAGAACAGCCTGCTTAACAAACAGGAAAGAGTTAAAGGCATTTTTATAAAATATTTATATTCTAAGTGTTTTTTCATAAGCACCAGGAACAGAAATACCAAACTCTTTTTGAGCTCTCTGGAAGAATTAGCTAATTCAGGGTCCTTACTGAGCTTTCCACACAGCTGTTGTCTTCCTATGTAAGATAACATATTCTAAGTGCCAAATATCAGGTATTGGTAAGGATAAGCAGTGCTACAAAGGAAGATTCAGTGAGTATACTGTGGCTGAGCCAGTTACTGGATTACACAATTTGAAGGATAATGAATGCATGTATAAGAACCACATGCCAGCAATTATCAGTATCTAAAGCAGTATCTAGCAATATGCACCCACCCCCCACCCTATACCCACCCAGTAACAATCATTTGACAAAGGTGAGGTTAAAGTGATTTTAGAATACCTTAGTTCCTAAATATAATGGCTATGAACACATGCTTTTTTAAAAACTAAACATTCAAAATTGGAGTTGCATCATTTTCCAGAAGCCATAGTTAAGTTATAAAGACAAACATTTGAAAGATGCTCTGACCTGTGTTTGTCATAATAAGAACTATATAATATTCACTTAACCAAAGCTTAATCTAAATGTGTCTCAGAATGCTACAAAAATTCTTTAAGACAACTGGTGAGAGTTATTGGAGAGTTATCAGAGAGTTTACATAAGGCAATAAAATTTGTGAGTCTACTTACTGTTTCTCAGGGTAAAAAGAAAAATAGTAGTTAGTATATTAAAAAAAATAACATAGAAGGAAATAACTTTTCATAAAAATTTACTTCCCAAATGATGAGTAAGTACAGGAACAATCCAAATAGTATTCTAGAAATGCTTACATTGTAATTTGACATCTTTACAAACAAATTTGAAATCCACAAATAATTACCCAGCAACAAAGAAATAACAACACAAAATACTTTAAATAATTACATTTTCCATTTACTGTGCCTAGAATGGTTACTGTCCACAAATTAAAAAAAAAAAACTTCATTATCCCCATAGTATTTTCCTAGCTGATTTTAGTGTGCTTCTGGTCTAGAACACTGATGTTTGGATGCTAACACACTTGGATAACCTCTAGCAGTACTTTTAGTCATGTCAGGTGAAGCCCAGCAGGCTGAGCACCACACCGAATTTAAACCGTACAAGAGTAGCAATTACAAAACGACACTGCTACCAGTGCATGAATCCACCATTAGCTTCGTAGTTAGAAATTTTAAACAAGGTTTTCTTTAAACTTGTTTTATTAGTCATGGAAAATATAAACAGAAAATAATAGCTACACTGTAGTAGCCATGAACTTACTGAGCAAAAGGAGGCAGTTCTTCTGAATGAGAAGGCGCTTGGTCACATCCCCAGATGTCAGTGAAAGATATGGACAGTTCATCTCCCCTAGTAGCCCACTCACCTCAAGCTGGAATTCTTCAGCTTCACTTGGGCCTTTTAAGAATTAAAATAATCTTTTTTAACAAAAATTACTGTTTTCCCCATTGGCATAGCAATTATCTACAAATTGAAAATTTTAATAGTATTTTCCTAACACAAGTACCTTTCTCTTCTAATCCATCCTTTCTCACACTACTGCCTATTTGTTTTCTTAAACAGTTTTCATTAGGTTATTACCTTTAATGGATTCCTAAGTTCCACCTCATCCAATCTAATTTTTTCTGTTTGCCTTTGAAGATTCTTCACAGCCTCTTTGCTTGCCCTTTCCGGTATACTGGTAGGAGTAGTTCCTATTACTTGTATATAGTCGTTACCAACAACCTCCAGAAATTTTCCCTCTAGTGGTGCCAGGCTGGTCTCCTCACCATCCTGGAAATGGGCAGTCTCATTTCTACCTCCGTGTCCTAACTTCAGTGACTCCCTGTGACTGATATGCCCTTTACCCCCTCCTCCTCTATTAAATCCCACATATCCATCAAAGTCCAGTGGTCCTGCTCCTTGATGAAACCTTCCCCAAAGCCTGCTACACTCACCGAGTTTCCTTCCCTGTGAACCACAAAGTGAACCATTTAACTACTGTTCTAATCTCTATTTGTTTCAGTTGTGTCTAAAATTCCCATTTGAAGACGGTGAACATGATTTGTATTTCTGTCTTCTCATAACATGTCAGATACAGCATTTACTGGGTGAACCAAGAGAAAGCAATGCTCTTCTTCCTTACTCTATCCAGTATCGCAAAGGGGTAAAATTTAACTAATACACTGACAGAGTCTCTTGATTTGACTCCATTTTCTCACCTATAAAATGGGAAGAATGCATTATCAGTGTTTTGCAAGCTGCGTTCTGTGAACTTTAGAGTTTCAAAGAACTCTGTTAGAGGCAGCTGGAGCAGAGACAGCTGTGCTCAAAGCACTCCCTCTCAACCTCAACTAGAACCCCATGCTTTTACCTGTTTTGCATTGACTTCTATATGTTTTCATCTGAACAACAGGGCTCCCGCTTATAAACAGTTATCGTCTAGTACTAACTGTTTTCAAAGGCACCCGCAGTCTCTGAAATGTCAGGGAAACAGGCAATGTAAAGAACACTGGCTCCCAAACCTGACTGCTGGGGACTGAAGCCTGCCTGTATCACTTACCGGTTGTGTGACCTCAGGCAAGGGACTTAACCTTTGTGCTACCTTGTTTGATGTATAAAAGGAGGAATAAAAGCAGCCTGGTAGGGTTGCCCTGGGGTTTAAATGAATTAACACTTGTAAAGTGCTTAGAATATGGTTAGTGCTCAGTAAGTGTAAGCTGTTGTGACTACTTTTACACTATACTCTCCTTAATAATTACAGCTGGATGCAACTAACTATACACATTAAATATACTAAATACATAAGAGTAAGCTCTTCAAAACTGGATTCCATAGCGGGGGATTATGTGTCTAGTTTTCCACAAGGGTGGATTAGCAAGTGACCATTTTTGTTTCCTATTATGGGTTTACCTATGATAAGAGGGAACCAAGTTGTGGAGTGTCAGGTTCCAAAGCTTTTGATTCTTTCGCAGTATCAAAACTAGCGCTAAAGCAGTAACAAAATTGGCAAATATCAAACAGCTCTCCACACCATAAATCTGATGATGATGGATCTGGTTGTGATGAACCTAGTGATACATTCCTATGATACAGAAAGTTCCTTAATAAAGTGTTTTTTCTCCCCATGTATAACAGAATTATAATGCATTTACGTGTTATATATACTTCTGGAATTTGGTAATCCTCAGAGAAAAACACCCCAATTTCTAGTTTTGGCCACCAATTCAAGATCTTACAATTTTTACAAAGAATGAAAAGTTCATATATACTCTGTCTCCATTTTTTTGATCTCAGTAAGAGGGTCTTTTCAATTTCCACAAACAGCTGTATGACTATATTCTGGTTTTTCAACTTCAGAATTACCTTATCTATAAAAACAATGGAGGGGAAAAAAAGCATTGTTTCCTTATGAATTTTTTTTTACATTTATAAAGAATTTGAAATTTCAGTTGTAATACTGATAATGTTCACTCAAAATACAAACTTCATTTTTATATTTGCACCTAAAACTGAATGTTTACTTACTGTTAGTTGCTTGCACATTTTCCTCTAGTTTACAGAGCACTCTTAATTCAGACACCAACCAAGCACAGAGTTTGGTAAACTCAGGGGAACTGGCTCCAGCAGTGACGGCCTGAGACAGAGCGCCATCTTCTAACAATGGACCCTTGTAACTGGTGAGTAAGAAATTACACTTCAGAAGAACATAAAATCACATCTAATATGTTACAAATACAATATATTCACATTTTATTTGTTTAATCAAGCAATGATTTAATAAAGCCACAATGACCAATCTCTAAACTTGCATATATAAATAAATCATTAAAAAAGCAAGCTAATCCCTTCAAAATATGTGAATACTGAATAGACTCAGGTACTAGTAAATTATGTCAACCTCTGTACATTTACGGAGAGCTCACTGTACAAAGGTTTGCTTTCTCACTTTAATTAAATCAGCATTAAAACCAGATTATAAGTGATAAATTATACTATAGTTTGGGCTTCCCTGGTGCTCAGTGGTAAAGAATCCACCTGCAATGCAGAAGACATGGATTTGATCCCTGGGTCGGGAAGATCCCCTGGAGAAGGGCAGGGCAACCTACTCCAATATTCTTGCCTGGAGAATCCCACGGACAGAGGGGCCTGGTGGGCTAAAGTCCATAGGGCCACAAAGAGTCTGACATGACTGAAGTGACTGAACATGCACACATGCATGCCATAGTTTACTATTTGAGAAATAAAACTTAGATGTCTTTTCTAGAAGATATTCCAGAAATTAGAGGTTTTAATAATTTTCTTTAAAAGCAAAAACTTGCCAATTATTATTTCCTTCTCCTATATTTATTGATAGTTAAAATTAGTAAGACATACTAGTACCAGAGAAACGTCAAGATTAATTTAATAATTGCTGGCAAATTGATGTTTGGGTGAACTGGTGCAAATGAATCCCAATCCTTTGTAAGGGATTCAAATGTAATTTTAAAAAATTATTAAATGTTTAGACATTCATAAAAGAGAATAGTAACAATGAACCTCAATCTAGAAAATAGCTAGAATTAAGTATTTTGTCATTCTCAAAGTCATTTAAAAATATACATTCTTCAGAAGGTTATTTTATCTTTTAAATGTAATATTGATAAATACTTATTAAATATGCTCAAGGTAGTTCGATATTTAGAGGTACAGAAATGCCATTCAGTTCTTTTTAAAATGTAACTATATGCTTACATATTTAATGGGACAGAAGAACCTCACACACAAAAATGAGGTTATATATAGTCTGACATCTACATTTAAAATCAATTATTAGACAGTGAAATAAAAAAAAAAACAGGCCTAGAAACTTCTCCTCCTGTTACACATTTAAACTTATTTTTTCCTGCAAGTAATTACTGAATTCCTACTGTGTACCAGGCTAAAAATAAATGATTGTCATTTATTTCTAATTGTTGCTGTTTTTCACTTGCTCAGTCTTGTCCGACTTTTTGTGACCCATGGACTACAGCACACCAAGCTTCTCTGTCCTTCACTATCTCCCAGTGTTTGCTCAAACTCATGTCCATGGAGTCGGTGATGTCATCCAACCATCTCATCCTCCATCACCTACCTCTCCTGCCCTCAGTCTTTCATCCTTGAAAAGTACATGTCATTTAATTAAGGCTAAATTTTAATGGCTGGATGCCACCAAACTAGGCAGTTATACGTTAAAATTTACAGTCAAGTTTTCAGAGTACCCCACGGTTTACACTACAACCCATCTCCATGATTTATTTAACTAGAGTTTTTGTAGTGACAATGACTTTTATAGCACCCAAGAGAAGAAAAACATAGTTAACAGAGAATAAAAGAACAATAATGAGAAGAAGTGGCATCAATCACTTAATTGTTAAGGGACCTCTATCCATGCAGAGTGACTATATTTAAATAAGGTTTACCTCCATCCTCTCTCTACTTCTCCTTCATCACTAATCGTAAGTGTTCTTCCAGGAAGCTTAAGACTTGTTTCCTTTTCCAGTTTTCCTTCCCCACTTCCTCTCCTTTTCCTGGTTCTCCTCAGTTCTCTTCACAGCATGTTTTCACAGTGTAAACTTCAATTCTACCTCACTCTCTACTCTTAAAAGCTCAGACCAACAGTGTCAACAGAACAAGTGTTCCTCAAAGATGTTTACTGAATGGTTTCATGTCTGAAATCTAGCAGTTTAAAGTTTGAGAGACCCACCAAAAAGACACCATTTCACTGAGTGTGACTTTTAAATAGGCCCTCATCAAAGAAATAAGCCACCTAAAGCCTGGAATATTCATGAAAATTCAGAGCAAGTTCCAGAGAAAAGTACAATGACAATTCACATCGACAAAAAAAGATGATAAGCACTACCATTTCCTTTCCTAAAAATCCGTGCCAGGACAAGTTACTTAAACAGGCAGATGTTGGGAAACCTCATGGTATCCGTCCCCAAATAAGAAAGGTTTTCCACAGCAAGGTAAAACCTAGGGGAAGGTTTTGGTAACGGACTGTTACTTTATAAATATAGTTACCTAAATCTGTTTTTCTTTTCTTTCTTTTTTTGGGGATACCATATCTATAAGCAAATATTTAATCATACAGTTTGTTTCTGGAACCACATTTAGCCCAAGAAATTCTAAGTTCTCAAGTTTTAACTGAGCACCCTGAACTGGGTGACCCAGTGAGATAAGAAGCCCTATTTCCAGCTTCTAGATACTAATGAATTATGGTTGGGTAACTGTCATGGGGAGAGAAAAAAATGCACAACAAATACAGAGAGACTTGGTGGGTGAAGATGGCCCTAAGGGAAAGGGCTAATGGTGCTCAATGAAGGAGTGTCAGAATCAAGGGAAACTCCCCATGATTCCCACGAAGGTGGCGACAGGTTAGGTGCACAAGTGAGCTGGCAGGAGGAACGGATGCAGCGCACAGACTTGTGGCTGAGGGAAGCCTGGGTGCATGCAGACATGACTGGGCAAAGGATATTTTTTTTGAGAGAACTGGGGTGGTGTAGGAGCAGGGGCTCAAGACAGGAGCAGGAAGTTTGGAGGACAAGTAGGAAAACAGAAAATCAACTTTGGCACCCTCCAGAGTGAGGGGGTAGGGCAGGAGGACAGGGAGCAAGGAAAGGAGCTCAGGGAGGGTGGTGGCGAGAGCCAGACCCAGACAATGACACGCATGACTGACAAACGCTGCGGGTAAGTCGGCTGCAGGGCGCACAGGGCAAGCCTAGGGGCGTCGCAGCCGGAGGACCCTAACCCGACAGGGCAGGCAGTGGACGCAGAATTGGGGTCCCGGAGCTACAGGGAGGCGACAGCCAGGAGCCACGGGTTGCGGCGCGGAGAGGCAGGTGTCTCTGACTGAGGCGGAGGAGTTCCCGAGGGGTCTGCAGTGTTGGGGTTTGGGAGACCGGTGCCCTGGCAGTCTTACCCGAGATCTTCCAACGACTCCAAGATGTCAGTCTCCATGAGGTCACACTCCATGCTACTGTGGTATTCAAATTTCCGAGTCGTCAGGCTCCCCTCTTCGCCGGCAACGCGTACACTCGCGCATGCGCTGCCTCTCCGGAACCTCCAAGTCAACAGCTGGCGCCTCAGCCCCTGCACTGCGCATGTCTGGAGCGTGCGCAAGAAACTTGGTTCCGCCTATCGCCCCGCCCCGGCCGGCTAAAGGATGGCCAGGTGACACCTTTTGCACATGCGTGTTCCTGAATAGTGAAGCCGGCGGCCCCAAGAAGGGCAGGAAGTCTGGCTGCGTGGCAGCTGGGCGTGGGGACTTAGGCGAGGCGGGGAGTGCGCTAACTTTTTCTAATTGGTGTACGCATGTGCGAGTCGTGGGGCGAGGCAGGTGGGGGAGGATCGTCTGGGGTTGGGGCGGGGGTCCCACAACTTGGCTGAGTGCTGGCTGAGAATGAGTCTCTGGATCTCAAAGAGTTACCAGAGTGGATGTCTGCAGCCAGCTGGCATTTTGTAGCTTTAGCTGTGGGTCATCCGTGCGCTCCGAGATAGTTCCTTAGCTCAGGGGTAGACGGGCCAAGTACCGAGAGAATGATAGAAAACTGGATTTCCTTGTGGCTGCAGTAGTTGTATTTCAGCGTTACGGAGGGGCCGACTTTCCCTTGACACGGCTTAAGAAAGTTGTTTCATTCCCTCCCTTTGCGTTCTTGACTTCTTAAGCTCTTCCCAGACACTAGGCATCTTATTTTAAAGCGGGGAGGGAGCTCAGAGGAGGTCTTCATTCCATATCAATCTCAAGTAGACTAAAATATCTTTAGATCCACGCAGTTTTAAAAGTAAATACATTTTTTGTTGTACTGTTATTGACTTGGCAGAATGTGACACGGTTCACAATTGGTTGTTTCTTGGCATGTACTGGCTGGGTTTGTGCTTAGAAATTATTGAAAAAAATGAGAAAAATTGTATTTAAAGTGATGATATATTTGGAAAATTATATTTATAAATTGGCATATGGCACACTATGTAGGCATTTAATTAAAGAGTTTTCACATTGGTCCTAGTAGATTTAATTTTGCAATTCTTAAACGTTTTCGTGTCTGATGGATAAATGCTTCCCACCCTTAATAGTAATTTTTAAAATTATTTTGCACCATCTGGAGTAGAGGGAAGGAATTAACATTTATTATGTACCCAGTGTGTTCTTGACGTGGTATTAATGCAAGCACAGTAAGTCTATATGAGTATTACTCCCATTTTACAGATGAGGATACTAAGGGCTAGGTGAACTTAATGGCCTGTCAAAAATGGTACTGCCAATAAGGAACTGGCTTTTGAAATGGAGTTACCATAGACCTTACCTGAGTAGTCCAATAAGGGGTTACAAGCAGGATATGAAAAGAGGAATATCTAGCTGGTTGAATAAACAGATTATGTATGTTTGTGTATCTTATATGTAATTACTTTACAATAAAAATGGAATAATTATTCTCATTGAGTTGTTGAAGGTGCTAAACAAAAAGTAATTCTCAGTGCAAAATCAGTTTAGGGGGGAAAAGTTTTCATTCTTGACTCGCTTTTCTTCTGTTTATAATTTTTATTTTATTTATTTGTTTGTTTGACTGTACCAGCCTTCATTGCCATGTGGGCTTTTTTCTCTGGTTTCGATGATCAGGGTCTACTCTCTAGTAGAGGTATGTGGGCTTCTCATTGCTGTGGCTTCTCTTGCAGAGCACAGGCTCTAGGGTATGCGGGCGTCAGTAGTTGTAGCTCCCAGCACAGGCTCAATAGTTGTGGTGTAGGAGTTTAGTTGCTCTGCATTTTATGGAGTCTTCCTGGATCAGGGATTGAGTCTGTGTCTCCTGCATCCACAGGCAGCTTCTTTACCACTGAGCCACCAGGGAAGCCCTTGACTCACTTTTCAGTGTAAGTTGTAACAAATACTATTAGTGAGTGAACAAGTGATGACTCCTCCAAATATATTATTCTTCTCTATCTAATGCAGACTGTTATAGTAAATGAAGGGTAGCCAACATAAAGTTTTTTTTTTTTTTAAATATTACTTAAATCTATAAGGGACTTTACTGCAGTACTTTTAAGAGTAAATATTGCTGTCATTTCTACAGGATCTAATAGGACTCTTTTGCATTTTAATTTTGAAAGTTTTATATTTGTATTGTAATCTGGATATCTAAGGACTTCGTTTAAGCTAAATTACATGAAAAAACTGATATGGGAGGAGGGAACCCTGATTTTTGCCTCAGTTCAATTTAAGTAAGAGTTTTCTTTAGAGTTTTCTAAAGTCCATCAGATTATCTTTAAGAGATAAGTTTTCTGTTAGAAGGTGTTCAACTAGAAATGATGAATAATCATAGTTTGAAGTCCAAACTTTCCAAATATCCTTGTAAAGAGTAAATATATTCTATACTTGTGGGAAAAAAAGTGTAACAGGGAAAATGGAAATGAAAATTGAATTTAGTTTTCAGAGGAATATCTTTTTATGTCACAACCTTAAAGACGATTATAGGTGAAGTTTTTAATTATGTAGTAGTTAAATTTTTTTGCGGCTGAGATTGTAAGAGTTACTTTTAAAATCCATACAAGGGTAGTTTTTATAATGACAAATAAATTGCTACTAATTAGAATATAAGATTTGTCATAGAGTGATTTCTCAAAGCTGGTTAAACAGGCACCTACAATTAAATTTTTTCCTCTCAGTTAAAAGAAGTTGAAAAATTACAGCATTTTCCACTTTTGATGAATTTGCCCTTAGAATGACTCTCCAACAGGAGAAAATAAGAAAAACCCTAGATTTGCTTATGTTGCTCATGAAATTAAAGTTTGTATATGCTATTTAATAAATAAAGTCCTTTTCAGCATGCATACTGAAAACAGTACTCCCCTCCCCTAAATATTAGCATGTAGAATTAATCTTGTAGGGTCTCAAATACTCTTATAAGTATGCCTTGGAGAGGTTATAGGTTTGGTTCCCAACAATAGCAATTAAGTGGATGTTATAATAAAGGGAGTCTCATGAATTTTTTGATTTCCCAGTGCATATAAATGTTACATTTATACCATACCATAGTCTATTAAATGTGCACATTATGCCTTTAAATGTACATACCTTAATTTAAAAAATACTTTACTGCTAAAATATGCTAACCATTATTGAGCTTCAGTGAGTCATAATCTTTTTTGCTGGTGGCGAGTCCTCCCTTGATATTGATGGCTGCTGACTAATCAGGGTGGTGGTTGCTGAAGTTTGGGGTACCAGTGGCAATTTCTTTAAATAAGACAACAAAAAAGTTTGCCACATCAATTAAATCTTTCACAAATGGTTTCTCTGTAGCATGCAAAATTGTTTGATAGCATTTTACCCACAGTAAACTTGTTTCAAAACCAAAGCCAATTCTTTCAAGCCCTGCCATTGCTTTATCAACTAATTTGAAGTACTATTCTAAATCCTTTGTTGTCATTTCAGCAATCTTCACAGTTTTTTCCAGGAATAGATTCCATTTAGGAAAACACTTCGTTTATCCATAAAGAGCAACTCCTCATCTGTTAAAGTTTAATCATGGGATTGCAACAATTCAGTCACATCTTTGGGCTTCACTTCTAATTCTAGTTCTCTTGCTTTTCCCACCACATCTGAAATTATTTCTGCTGCTGAAGTATTGAGCACCTTGAAGTCATCCATGAGGGTTGAAATCAACTTCTTCCAAACTCCTATGCATGTTGATATTTTGACCTCTTGTCATGAACCACAAATGTTCTTCATGGCATCTAGAAGGGTGAATCCTTTTCAGAAGGTTTTCACTGTACTTTGCCCAGATCTTGCAGAGGAATTGCTAAGTCAACCACAGCCTTACAAAATGTATTTCTTCAACAGTAAGACTTGAAAGTTGAAATTACTCCTTAATTTATGGGCTGCAGCATGGGAGTCATGTTTCCAGATATGAAAACAACATTCATCTTATTGTACATCTCCTTCAGATTTCTTGGGTGACCAAATTCATTTTTTAATGAGCAGTAATATTTTGAAAGGAAACTTTTTTTTTTTCTGAGCTGTAGACCTTGATAACGAGCTTAAAATATTTAGTAAACCATGTTGCAAACAAATGTACTGACATCCAGGCTTTGTTATTCTTTTGATAAAGCACAGGGAAAGTAGATTTAGCAAAATACTAAAGTGCCCTAGGATTTTTAGATTGATAAATAAGTATTAGCTTCTTAAAGTCACCAGCTCCCTTAATCACTAACAAGACAGGCAGCCTGTCCTCTGAACTTTTAAAGTCAGGCATTGACTTTTCCCTAGTTGTAAAAGTCTTAGATGGCATCTTCTTCCAGTAGAAGGCTGCTTCCTCTACACTGAAAATCTGTGGCTTATGGTAGCCACCTCCATGAATTATCTTACCTGTCTCCTGGATAACTTGCTGCAGCTTCTACATCAGCACTTGGTACTTCACCTTGCACTTTAGTGTCATGGAGATGACTTTTTTCCTTTAAACTTATGAACGAACCTCAGCTTACTTAAATTTTTTCTTATTACCTTCCTCATAGAATTGAAGAAAGTTAGGGGGGCTTTGCTCTGGATCAGGTTTTAATTAAAGGAAATGTGGCTGATTTGACCTACCCAGATCACTAAAACTTTCACCATATCAACAATAAGGCTGTCTCACTTTGTTATCATTAGTGTGGCACTAAAGTAGCATTTTAATTTCCTTCAAGAACTTTCCCTTTGCATTCACATCTTGGCTAACTGTTTGACACAAATGACCTAAAGTTTGAACTCTCTTGGCTTTAGATGTGCCTTCCTCACTAAGCTTAATCATTTCAAGCTTTTGATTAAAGTGGGAGATACGTGACTCTTTCTTTCATTTAAACATTTAGAGACCACATTATAACACTTAGAGGCCCACATAATAAAGGAAGGATTATCAACAGAAGGATTATTAACTGGCCTAATTTAACTAGTGTTGTGTTTCAGAGAATAGGGAGGCCTGAGGAGGGAGGGAGACAGGGAACAG